GTACACTTTGAATTTTTGATATTAGATGGTTGGAGGCAATCGGTATGGAACCTGGGTCCAAAGCTTCCCGTCGACTGCCGCCAACAATCTATTATCAGGAAGAGGGTGTATTGACCATATCGCCAACCTTCCACAGATTCTGAAACATAGGCATACTTACCGGCGTCCAACAATCGTTATATTTTTAGGCCTAAAGGCGGCATTCGATTCCGTCGACCAAGAGGTACTATGGCGACATTTGGTTGTCAATCACGGTATGTTCCGTTTGACAACAAACACACGAACTACTGCTTATAGCGTTAATTTTATTCTCATGTTCAAAAACTAATAGTTGATACATTAGTGTATATCAAAACAGTAACTAGGTTGCTCGAAAGAACGGCATTATAAGAAAAAGGTAAAACGGATTTGACTGGTTTATTTGTTAATAAAGTTAACTACTTTGTCGAACGAGACCTGAACAGTAAATCTGTTAAGGAAGTATGATCACGAATATTTAATATTTCATTTTTTTTCAGTAATCCTTAGGGCATAGATGTGCCTCAACAAGGTAGACGCTAGGCTATGAATACAGCTGAAACTTAATAATAGTCTTTTCACATATCAGAGTCAAGATTCGATTCGATTTTAACATCAAACTAATTTCTGGCTAACCTAATAGGCGCAACTGCACATAAAATGTATATTTTCTACTTCCTTGAGAACCACACACATATTCTCTGTCACATAGTTGCTATCTTGAAGTGGTGGTCGGACTTGCATATCGTAGTAATCCAACAAGACACACTGGCCGAAACTAATGTGCATAAAGGTCCTACCATGCCACGAAGATTGTTAGGATAGTCATTAAACTAAAAGCAGTTACCGGAGTAGTGTACGGGTTTTTATACACTATGCTGGGAGTCCATGAGCAAAGTCATACTGCGGGGGAACATGGATGTAACAGTAAAAAGGTGTTTCCCTCAGATGACCAGCATGCCAATTATCTGTCTCTCCAATCTGGAGAGAGGGGTTAGAAAAAGGTCAACCCCGAGAACTGTACATTCCAAGTTACCCTTCGGTGGTCCGTAGCCACTGGTAAGCTACTAATACGGAACCAATCCAAGAATTCAGTTCAGACAGACCGTGTGTGACCGGCCTCAAGCAGATGTCCCCTGGGCTCTGGAGTCACGCAACACTAAATCTGTTTGTTTCAGGTAGCCGGGTAGTAATGACCGCCCACACAGTTCCAAAAGCACACGAAGCCCTCCTAATCATCACTCTCCTTTATCCCTGTTACCATCATCACCTGGTCCTAGTCAGCACTGACTTTAACCACAAAGAGAGACATTGCCTAACCAGGCGGCCTCAATCAACAAATCAACGTTGGACTCAAATGGACCACATAGATAGGCTATGATTGACGAAGATCAGTAGAAGACTCCAGCTCCTTCTGGAACACGTGCGTAGACTGATCACGCCCTGGTTCGCACACGTTTATGCCTGCTTACGATTAAACGGACACAAAAAATTGTTGGCAGTGAGGCTGTTACCTACCCAACCTGATCAGGACACTGAGTCCCTATTTAAGGAAGAAATATGTTAACGCGTTCCTGAAGAGGTCCGGCACAACATTCAGTTTAGCTGTAGAGGCAGCTGTAAAGGCAGTTAATAACCTAAAACCAAAAGTATGTAAGAGCTAGTGGGTTTCTATTACCACATCCGAACTGATTCATTCAAGAAGACTGATCCCGGTGACCTCCGAGTATGATGAAGAGCGAAAAGTGCTCAAACGCAAACTAACCACGAACCTTCGTAACGACCATGAACAGTGGTGAACGACAAAAGGTACCACCAGACAACTACTTAGACTTATCAGAGAAACAGGTGGTAAAAGGCGAATGATGAGTGAAACAATCTCTGAGGAAAATGGCACCATAACTAGCTCTCAGAATAGACAATTGGAACGTTGAAAAAAAGACACTTTGAAGAACAATTTAGCTGGCCTACAGCCACAGTCAACCTACTGAGCATTCAACACCTCCCTGAATGCCGAGAAAATACATTGCAATGATCAAGGCATTCTACTCGAATTCATACGGAGTTATCCTCTGAAGTGGTGACAACCAATGGTATCCCTCAAGGATGCTTACTGTCCCCATTTCTGTTTAATTTCGTCATAGATGTACTAATGGTCTCAACCCTAATTGACTTCAGTGACTCAAGGGTTGACTTGTTACCAGGAAATCATCTTGTTGAATTAGAATATGTCGATGACACAGTCCTTCTATGTGAGGAGCAGCAATCTTCGAATATTTGGCATGTGATTCGCTCCTGCTGTCAAATGTAAGATGATGCTATGGGACTGGACGATATCGACTCACTCCTAGCTTAAAGATAGGCAGGAGTGAAGCGGTGGGGCATGCTTACCACTTCACTTATTTGCGAAGTTGCATCAGCCAGTGCCAGCGGGTTGATCGTTGATGAAATCTCAGTACGGATACAGAAGGCTCGTTTGGAATGCACCATCTCTGGCGTAGACATGATATCCAGCTATCGACCAAAGAGCGAGTGTACTGCTCACCAGTTCTCTCTGTCCTCCTTTATGGCTGTGAGACATGACCATTGAAAGTGGAAGACGAGAAAAAGCTGGCTAGCTGTCTCTGATCATAGGTGTCTGTGTTCTATCTCCTGTGTTAGGCAGTATAATAGGGTGAGCAGTATTCAAGTGAGGTATCGGTCGACTGCTAGGTAAGAAGGGGAAATCAATCGACGAGGCCATCAAGCAGCTGCATCCATTGAGATGTTTGGGACATGTGTTACGCATGCCTAGCCATCGCCTTCCTCGACGGGAGATCTTAGATGACATAGGAAGGATCAGGCTGAAAAACAGCTAGTGGTGGTCAAACCAAAACATGGCATCAGTCAATGAAATCCACAACATTTACATTAAGCCAGTCACGTCATGAGGATTAGACTTCCTAGTTGGGCTCCTCGGAATGGTAAGAATCAGTGGCTAAAGACAATCATAGATATGGCTCGAAGTCGTTCTCAATGGCGTAGATGCATTCACTCTTTGTGATTCATAATATTCAGTAAAACTATATTGTCCTTCCATATTACTATTCCTTTTACCTCATATCTGTTTATTTCTGTTTTGAATCTCTCTTTACTCTTTTCGCTTGCTTTGTGGGCTACATGGAGTGTGGCAACTCCAAGTGCTGCACATTTGTGGAAAGTTCTACAATGAAGCCAATCAGCAGTCAATCAGCCATATTTAGTATAATATTATGCCCCATTAGAGATAAGTCAGATTCTAGACTAACTAATTCATACATACTGAAACGAAAGCTATGTGAGATTCAAACAGAAAGTGACGAAAGAATTATTAGTTTTGATGCAACGAGGTTATACACTTATCTCCCAATGAACTGTACATTGATCCCAAATAGCATCAATGGACTGCTCTAGGTTAATGAAACAATAATAGGTATACAATTACGCCTAACCTACATAGTATTCAAAATTGAAAATAAAATACGTAAACAAACACAGAGGGTGGCAATGATTGCAGACGTATTTGAGGACAGTTGGGAACACAAAGATCCGAGAACGTTGAATTCTGCTCCTACGTTTGGGTGTTAATATTCAGAAGACGCACTCACTGTATAAAAATCCAAACATATCCCTAAGGTCTTCGCACATGAACTCACTGGTAGATGGAAGCCAATTCACTTTGGAGTTAGAAAATCAACATGGTGAGTTAGCTACGCTGGACTGTAAAATCAAACGGAAATAGGATGATGGGTAATGGACTAGTATCTATAGAAAACCGACGCAAGCAAATAAATAATTGGACTATAATTCATCGCATTTAAAATCGGTAAAGGTAGGTTTAGTTAGGTCTTTAAATGATCGAGCCAGAAGCCTCAGTATCAAATTAATTAAATAACAACATAAATATATTGATAACTACCGACGAAATATCATTCAAAAATGCAGATACCCATAAGAAAAAAAGAGTACCAATGTAAATAATGAGGAATTTAAAGCTTCGAGGGCTCTGCCATATGCGGACGGAACACCAGAAGCTCTACGTAGGATTCTTAAATAAGGTTGGGTTTAGAGTGGCATTTAAATTACATAACTCCTTCAGAGACAAACTTTGTTCCCTTGAGGACTCGATAGTTTCCGTTAGCAGAAATATAATTTACTAAATGACACGTGATGGCTGGGAGGTCTTTTACATGAGTCACACTTGTAGATTCCGTTCAATTAAGTTATCGAGGCATAGAAATTCAGCTAGAGCTGGAAAGATTGACCCTACTAAAATAAATAATCTAGCGAAAACCCATCCACTGCATCGCATTCACTTGCATGTAATCACCAAATAGGTAGGACAGTGAGGAAGTATTAAAAAGAAATATGGTTAGGTGGAAGGAGACGTTCATCACTGAATCGTTGTTCATCGAATAAACACTGAACACGTGCAATCGAAATGACTCAATGCCAATACCGGACATATGGGAGATTGCAATGAGTGACAAAGGGGAGAGGACATGCAGAGTATGAAGCCGTATGAATGGGTTCATATGCTTATGAGCAATAATTTATGCTCGAAATGTCAGTTATCAATAGTGTATTACTGTGTGTTATATCAAATAAATGGAATTATATCTCCAAGTCTAGGAAATGTAGTCTTTAGTTTTCTATTATAAAGTTTCTTTGAAATATTGTGCCACCGAATTCATAATTTATTACGCTTATTTTTAAAATGCGATAATAGTTTGTCAGTAAAACACCAATTCACTTGACAATGGAATACGTGACTCTCTATTCAAAGAGTCTACTACATTGAACACAAAAAATTAGGGGGAAAGTGAAACAGAGATGTCTTTCAATATGATATATTTACACAGTGAATGTAGATTTTTGTCGGTGTGATGTAAACACGGCTAACAATACAAAATATACTGTGATGTTCTGTGAACAGAAATATACAAAAATAGGACAGCATATTTTTATGTCGATTCCACATAAGCCATAGAATGTCCGTATCCACAGGCAATATGTTTCACTTTATAATCTCGACCAAAACTTTTCAGCTTTAAAAGGTATGGCTGAGAAATAAAAGGAACACCAACATGTTCGGTTTTATGTTTTTCAACTTGACTGGAGTTTTCTCCAACACCACACATACCATGTTCGTCCCAACCCCAAACCCATAATTTTCCATTTGAATCAACAGCTAGTGAATGTTCTGAGCCACAGGCTATATTTTTTATAATCACTCTGTGATCATTTTTTGAATCGAAATTTATTTTTACAGGGTTTCCATCAAAATTTGGGAATACTTTACTAGCAGAACTTTCGTCTACCTTTGGTACTTCAACAATACGTCCAAGCTGTCCAAAATCTGATCGACCCCACGAATAAACATCTCCAACACCTTGAATAAATTAATGCATAAACAGAGAATATTTGAAAAAATTAATAAGGAAGAAAATGATTTCCGGAAATGAAAGTAAGTGAAAACGCTTGTCGTTAAATGTACATTTTCCTAAGAAAGCAATGTAGACTTTAAACCAACCAAACTTTTCACTGAAAATAAGAAAAATGTTTACTGCCATTATTTTCGAAATATTTTTAGTCATACAAAAATTACTAACTGTTACAATTTTAACGCATAGAACTGTTCTACGTCAGTTAATACCTATTGCGTCAAGCTGACTTCACTTAGGTAGTAGGACCAATAACAATAACTGATAATAATACCTGAAGTCTGGTTCATAACGCAGATTCAAGAAAGTAAATTGATATATTTTTCTTGATATTTTTGATTACAGCTTGATGCCACACCTTATTTTCAGTACAGGTATGGAATTTTCAGCATGTGATATCGGTAGCCCAAATTTTGCAGGCCAACCATTGATATATGGTGTGCGTCGGCAGGGGATCGAACCTTGGACCATGTGCATGGTCGGCGAGAGTCTTAACCACTGTGCCACCGACACACTCAGTTTTGCTTTAGCAAGTGTCAAGTGAAAACAACAGACACCTGATTCATTGTAATGAAATGCTGCAAGCGGATGGAGAAACTCTATGTGTTGGCCCATGACAGGAGTTATAACCAACAACTGCAAAGTAAAGTGACATCTGTGTAACTCATAAAACACCAGTCGAAAATATTGCCCTTTTGGTTATACTGCTAATATTTTCTACACTTGATATATTGGTGCAGCATTATTACCGTTGCACATTTTAAGTGGTGATTCAAAGAATAGGGAAACTGCATTGACAAAGAAGTACGCTGATAAGAGTTCCTCATATTTCACTTTATGAATCAATTCCTATGTATTCAAGAAGACAGCCACATTAACAGAACAGAAAAAAATGACTTCAGTTAGAATTTTTCAAAATTTACTAGAGTGATTTAATTAAAGGGAACTATTTGAAAGAGGTTACTTCATTCACATCCAGGAAGCATTGTCTCAACTACAGGAGGAACGGATGAAGATGTCAAAACGAGAATCAGGAAGGCGAGAAACACATTCATCAATCTGAAACCAATCTGGAAATCGTCGTCACTCAGCATCAACAACAAAATTCGGATTTTCAATTCAAACGTCAAGTCAGTTCTTCTATACGGATCAGAAACCTGGCGGGTCACAAAGAATATTTCCAACAGGTTGCAGACCTTTATCAACAGCTGTCTTCGTTCTATACTGAAGATTAGATGGCCGGAAAGAATCACAAACAAGAAGCTATGGGAACAAACAAAACAAGAACCAATCGCCCAACAAATATGCAGGAGAAAGTGGAGATGGATTGGACACTCGCTGAGGAGGCCGTCGGGTGACATCGCGCGTCAGGCCATAGCTCGAGTGGAACCCGAAAGGGAAGCGGCGAGTGGGACGTCCAAGGGTGACATGGAGGAGATCGTGTGAAGAAGAGTTGAAACAGTATGGAGGCAGGTGAAAAGTACAGCAGAAGACAGAAACAAGTGGAGACGTGCTGTTGAAGCCCTATGTTCCACTAGGAACCCAAGGGAACAATAATAATTATAATTTGAAAAAATTCACCTACTTTACTAGTCTATCCTAAGTTCGCAAAAGAGGGAGCTATCAACCCAGCCCGCAAATGCAACATCACCAATGGAACTTCAATGCACAGAAAATATAAATCTATTCCCTACGCAAATCAGGAAGACTCACTAATTCCAGGGCAGTCAGCAATGAAGGGTGAAAACCTACGCGAAGTCAATCGACCAACAAGACTCCTTTCGATGAAAGCAAAAGTAAACATTGAGACATGGAATGTTTGCACTACGTTCATGACTGGCTGGCGATATCACCAAAAAGAGTAACTCTTCGCTGAACGCCTATTCTTTTATGAGACTCAAATCGGGATTTTCAAATTGTTAAGCATTAAAAGGACTGACTATGTGACGGTTATAATAAGACGAGTATACCCCCTCAGCTTACTCTCTTTGTTAATTTAGAAGAATTTTTGGAGTAACGTAACTTGTTATGTTAATGTACTATTTCAAGTTTAACTTTGTTTCTACCTACATTTTGAACTCAAGAATATTCGTCTGGTTACCTCACGCGAATTTTGTCCTATCGCTTAAATTAACTGCCTACATCATTTCGCACTTGTGTCAATTATGGTTCCAATCAGTATCTCGTTGTGAATGTGATAGAAGTATATTCAAACATTTATAGTGATTTGTATATTTTGGTAATGTTTAGTTTGATGGTAACTGCTATCCATCCGAACTTTGTGACATTATAGAATTTGCTGGAACATACGTTCTGGCCAACACAAGTCGTTGAGTCACTTCTACATGCAAGTACAGTCACAGCGTTAAGATAGCAGATATCGGTCAGAATTGGTTAGCTTAACCCTGTCGAGTCCTACTGGTCACCTTGACTCTAGACTAGACAACACTGTATCCAAGCTGTGGTTGGAAGTAGAAAATCTGAGAATATATAAAAACCAACTGCAATGTCTAACAAGACGTTCTGGCCACTAATCCAATGACGTCACCTATAAATGAACGGTTGACCTGTCTTACTGAACTACAGTCATACTTTTCTACATTCTACTGGTAGTTTATTGAACAAACCTAAACACTGATTGATTCTGACCTACCACAACTGCTTACTACGTCTTTTTAATAAAGCTGTTTACTGATGTTCATGGTCACTGCTGTTTCTAGTGAGTCGTTTACGATATTCAATTTACTCAGATGGACGAATATGTATCCTGGTATGATGGGAAAAGTCACCAAGATTCTGAGAGTTAATTGCAGTTTTCATCAATGCTTATAAAATACAACAGGATAGAATTTAGATTTAAAATATTATCGAATGAGATTTCTTAATTGTTCACTTGTAGGCATCGGCATAACAGTCTACTCATTAACTGAAATGCCTCCATATAAAATATAAAAGTCTACATTTGATTTTAATCTTTACTACATTCGCATTTATCACAACACTGATGTTAAATGAAGCATTATTTTTCGGATTAACTGCGAATTTAACCACTTAAATTGCACATTTAGTGAAGTGCGTACAGCCAGAAGATGAAATATACTTACTCGTTCTAGCAAGAACGTGACTCCACCCACAAACCAATTGTTCTATTTCACCGCCATCAAATAATTCAGAATCATACCATATAATGGATGAATTTACCATTTTAATATTTGAAGAATAGTTTCGTACTCTTGATCTCAACTGGAAAAAACGAATATACCCCCATAGAGCCAAGCAGTTTGTTTCTACAAAAATGAGTAGAAAAGCAACATGTCATCCTGAAAAATAGGTGCATAAAAGTAAAACAACAAGAAATTATAACATACTAGTTTTTACCATAGAATGATATGCACCAGCAGCACAGTCAACGAAATCATTTTCATCTCCTAAAACAGAGTTGAGAAGAATGGGATGGTAGTATATCTCCGAAGAACCAATGTGTTGGTCTGTTTTAACTAACGTTTTGTCAGGGAATAATTGTTTACGGCGATTGGAACCCCAACCCATCACTTTTCCAGAGACTAGAATTTAAAGCTGTCTGAAAAATGAAAGTTACCTGTGACACAAATGACGTGCCTCAAACCAGCAGAGATTGACCGAACAGGTTCTATGTCAACACGAATCTAACTTATAATCACTTAATTAGTAACAAGTTACAGGAGCTGTGCTTGATTTGATGCCCTCTCTACTCAGCTGTCCATATGCATTTGAACCCCAAGTGAAAACAGACCCGTCATCAAGTACTGCAACAGAAAAATCCCAGCCGCATGTCAATAGCTTTACAGTTAGTCTAAAGGAAAACGAGGTGGGTTTGAAGAAATAACAGTTATCTGAACGACCCATCTGATCAGAGGAACTTGATCCAGAAGTCATTATCATATTATCTGAGAACATGATATCATTTCACTTCAAGTTACCATTAACAATCAGAGAGTGACCACCACCGCCAGCGAGTAAGGTAACAGGATCACTGAAGTTTATTATCTGCGGCTCATAAACATCTTTATCATCTCCTGTGCCCAGCTGACCATGGCTATTTGCACCCTGAGACAGAGTATCAATATATCAGCAACAAGAACTCACCCATGTAAACATAAGAAATCTGAAACTGTGATCACCTCACTATTAATTACGAATAAATGAACAATAGGGTACTCATTTTATTTTGAATTAGCAGCAAGAATATGATAGCATATCACAAAATTATGATTAAAAAAGAATAAGGTAGATGCCTAACGAGTAGACCGAAGTAAGACATCGTATGAAAATTAGTAAAAACAGAAAAAGGATGCAATAACATGATATTACAAGAGAAAGTGTAAAGGGGAAGATGAATTAAACACTAATGAAGTCTGGAATCTATGTAATAAATAGTGAATAAATCAATGGAGCGGCCAATTTCATGATATTTTGGTTTTGATAATCATCGATTTCTAATATTAGACATCATCTTTCCTTCACTTCTCCACACAGCTTAGACGAACTTTGCCAAGAAGACTAAGCATGACTTCCTCCTAATCGAATGCTATGTCAAAATAACGCAGATTTGTAGATCAGGCGGACGTCTTTGATTTACTTATGTTCCCAGACCTGGATGGTCTACTTGTGAAACTTTTACTGTTCTTCAGTGCCAACTTGAGTGTGAACTGCTCGTTAGGAATTCTAAGGTGAAGTGTGCACTAATTTTTCACAATTAGCTTTTCAACTCTATAAAGTGTCCGGTAATGGGGATTCAAGTAATTATAACATCATCCTTATTTTAACCAGAATTATAATCAACGGCCAAGACCACTTTAAGAGATTACATTTGATACTAACAACCCAACTATGGATTTTCTCTACCTTTTGGGTTCCGACTGCTCTTTTGATACAGATGCAGATACTGCTTATAAGTCACAGTGACCAAATAAACAGGATTCAGCTCGTCCAAGTGGCTAAAAACGAAATGGATGATTACGCATTAGTGAAAACTGAAGGAAAAAGTACCTTGGAAACAAAGATAAAATTGTTCTCAGATGTGTTACAAAGGACAGAAACTCCACTTGGAATACGCAAAGTAAGCAAACTTAAAATCAGTTGTCACTACACCCGAAATGATAATATGACATGGTCTAACGATAATATCGAACTTAAAAATTCTGCCCCATCACACCAAACGACAATGCTGGGAAAATTTCATCTGATATAGCGCGGTGACAAGATAACGAGCATAATTTATTGCTCAGTCAAATCAAGGTAACCATATAACTTCCTTGCTTCATTTATATACTCCTATTGTTTCTCATCGTACTGCAGATGGTAGTTAATCCAAAGAACTATGATAAAAATCTCTGCCCACGTAACTATATTACCGTCTAAAATTGTATCAGTTTTAATTTATTGTTTGTTACTGAGTCCGTGAATACATTTGGATGGCACTTGTCTTGGAAAAGAATTTACCACCGAAACAGAGGAAGGGAAATAGTAAAACTGTGAAAGCCAGGTTACAAAGTTCCGAAGTTACATAAGAGATGAATGTGAACTATAAAGTGAACACGAAGCACCAGGTAAACAACAGTGACTGTGACATACTAATAGGTAACCTAAATTGAGTCTAGTGACTCACACCATACTCGCTTCTTTGTGCAAGTGAAATCAAGGCTTCTTTCAGACAACTAAGAAACACATATTAATACATTACCTGCTCACATTTACTAACCATATATACGCAACAAAATAAATTACGAAGAGATTATATAGAAAAGAGTTACGCTATAAAGAGGTTCCTGAAAAACCTAAATCTGCTGGTTCCCACAGAGCACAAGAAAATGTAATAAAGAATAAATATTGGGAACACAGCAAGTTTAAATAAATCGACTTACAACTGTCACTTTAGAGTCACAAATCACTGACTGATAATTACCGACACGACTGTCAGTTATGGTAGGTCGATTATGAAAGGAAAGATGAAAATTGGTCGAACTATCAGCACTTTCACTTCCAATCTTTTGCTAATTCCTCAATTGTCTTGTGTGTTGTTTAGCCTTCAGCTTTGTGTAGAGGTGTACTACTGCCTTTAGGTAATCAACGGCTTAAGATAATGCTACACTAATTCTTAACTATGCACATATTATAAATAACGTCTAATGCTAAAAGGATGTCTTAAGCGCTGCAAAAAACCTAGTATGTCCTGAACAAATGCGGTTAGTGCTACGAAATAGCACCAGATACTGAACTAATTATTGAAGTGATGCAAATTGCCTTAAAGACGCTCAAGTTACGCGGGAACAATGCAAGTAAGTGCTGAATCGGAGCCTACAGAGTTGAAATGACGCTGCGAAAAATGGCTGTAGGTACTGAGATGATGCGGAAAGATAGAGATATATGCTGTTAAGTGCAAAAATCAAGCTACTGAAACGAATTCTTAGTATTTGCTAACCGCGAGAAGAAAATCTTCAAAATTTACTAGTACTGTCACCGCTTTATTAAGGTGACTGTTATTACAGTCACGGATCCTCTGAAAAAGAACATATTTTTCGTTGCATTTTGTGGTGATAATGAGTTAATTTTCAGATGTTTTATTGTAAGTTTTGTCAGTCAATTGACTGCAATCATACTAGTATGCTAGATAACTTTACTAGGCAATGCCACTTAAAATTCAGTAAAACAGTGTAAGAAGCAGTTATATTTACAAGCGACTGGAAATGTCTTTAAACTTCTGCACTTTCATACCCCGAAGACACTAAGAGAACACAACCATTTAAATGTCGTTACCAAAAAATGGCCTTGGGCCAATGAGCAAGCATTCAGTAAAACTCCATAAAACACGTTCCTGTGATTTACTAAACAAATTAATCAATCACAGTGTATCCACACATGATTGATTCTTCACAGATGCTGTCGTCAACAAACCCAGTTAAAGATAACCTCTGTCTCATTTTTGGCACATTCTAGTAAAAAATTGAAAAAATGTCACCTAATTAAGAATTAGAAACGGGCAAAGTCTCCCTAAAGAACCAAAAGTTTCTCTTTGGCTGTCGACATCTTGCCTAATTTATGTCTTGAATTTGTAAATAAAATCAAGTGTGTTCATAGAATTTGTCTGACGCTATATGTATACAATGTTTGATGTAATCTTTATGTAACACAGTTGACACGATTAATGATCATAGCGTAAAATCCTAATAAGAGCTTACTCAGATGAAGTCTTTTAATCAAAATATATGCATTCAGCCAGTTACGAAGGTTAGCTGCCTTCTAAAGACCATTCCGTGCTCCCACTTATCTGATAGTGTGCATTCTAAGTACGTAGCTTCAAAGTCAAGCATCTGTGGCCCAACTACGACCAAAATGATGCTCTAGGGTCAGATCTGGCAATCTGGCGTGAGTTTGCCCTAGGTGTTGTCAATCATCATCAGGTAGTTAAATGTGCATTAAAAGTGAGCTATCATGTAATTGACTGTAGAGTTATAGTCTTTACAACAGTTTCTGTGGTAATTACAAAGAGCACCTAGTGATTAGGAATAGTGTAGCTGCCACCATTTGACCACGTTTCGAGGTTGCATTTTGCAAGGCCTGAGGGTAGCTGAAAATGTGATCAGCACTCATCTGTTTTCAAAAGACATCTATTTAAACCCTAAAGTTCTCTTCAGAAAACATTCCAGTTTACTTTCCCTTGTAAGTCGCACGTTTAAGTATAAATCACTGAAATTAAATCTCAGTTGCCTAGGGTTACGCAACCGAGAAAATCGCCTTCACATTCGAGAAGATGACAACAGGATTATAAATATGACTATTCGTAGTATTTGAATTACCTGCAACTGATAGAAGTCTTGTGTAGCTATGTGAGAGCATGTCTAATAAGACAAAAATTTCTGTCCTTTGTAAGCTTGACTGAATCTACGCACATTGTAACGCCGTCTGACAACTTCGCTGACGATGAATTTTCGCGTAAAATATAGTGTTGAAACCGTACTTAAAATACATCACCGTAGCTAATTAACCCCTGTTAGTAAATACTCCAGATATACTAACTTCAAGCTACCAAAGTTTCACGAATTCCCAGTTCAGTAACTCGACATTTCAGTTGGTGCTGTGACTAGACCAGAAGTAATGGGGCATATATCTGTAGAAAAAACTGACAGATATTTTAAGATCACGAAATGGGCATCAGTGTTACACAAAGCTGGCTAATAACATCAGATGATTACGAAGACTACAAGTGACTGGTTATTTTCAGTTCTGATATAAGCCACTTCAAAAAATGCAAAATAAAACTTTGGCCTTCATAAAATGTTGCACTGGCAATTCTGAAGAGCAGTTTCTTCATCTTGCGTTGTTTTTCCTGGATAATAGAGAGGCAGTTGGATCATTTGGAAGGAGAGCAACTAATTCAGTATACTTTTCTTGAGGTATTGGGAGTGTATCCAGCACAACACATTAAAAGGGCACCGTAGCTGTTGTCGATTTCCTTAGGAGTGCTTTCTGTTACGGTTCGCTCTTCAGGTAAGTTCACACTTTCATTCCAAGCAGTGTGGGGATATAACATGATAGAAAATCCTATCCGCTTATTCCGTTCAGACCTCTAGTTTCTAGGTTAAGCGATGGAATATGTTGACGGTTACGCAAGATACACGCCTTATAAACTCAAGGATCTCTTCTGTATTTGCCGACATGCTTGTTCTACTGATACCAGGCACAGACAAAAACAAAAAGTTTACCTTAAAAAGTACGATACATACCCATGATACAGAGGGATGATGACCGCTTAACTATTCAGGGTTTGTGCATGAATGAATGTACGACAGCGTAGCAGATGCAGCGGATGCTTTACCTCTTACTTTCAGCTAAACAGGTCATTTAAACATCGTAGATCAGCGCACAGTGTTGAGTGAGGAATGCTGTGGGGTTAATAATTTTGAGAAATTATTTGCCTATACACTAGCGAACATTGGTGTCTGGCATTACAATAATAAATTTATTCCTGTTTATGCAGGAACATGCCAATTGTACAGGCATGAATAAGTTATTATATAAATTACACATATTTCGATGTATGCTGAATTTACAGTTTGGTTGTTCTTTCTGACATTAGAGTCAGTCGGAACAGTCTGCAA